TTTTTTTTTTTTTTTAAAAGGTAATTTGTGACACTGTAATATAACACAATATTTTTAGCCTGGTTTCCTCCATGGTAGAGGTGAGTATACACAAATATCACAGGAACATAACTGGGGTAATCTGAAGATGACAGTACTTTGAAAAATCAGTATATTTAAAAATATAACAATGTCTATAGAAATGCTAAATGTATGATGAGATACAAATGGGAAGGAGCAGTAACAGATTTAGGTTTAAATCATCTAGGTGTTTTTATCCTTCATCAGTTCAGCTTTCCAAACAGATGCTTTCCAAACTCAGATGCTTTCCAAACAAAGGACTGACGAAGAACTGAAGGTGGTAGGAAAGCAGGTACAGCCTGTTTTCACAAATATGTTAATAAAAATGCATCTTTCAGTAAATAATAATTGAGTACCTATTGTGGGCCAGGCACTGTATTAAGGGCTACATGTACCCCCAAAATGAAGACATAGCCCTGCCCCTTGCTAACCACAACACCCAAGATAGAAGGGGAGGCAGACCTGTTCAACAGCCTGTTACAAAGCACTATGGTGGGGGTTATAATGATGCTTCAGAGGAAGGACTTCTGCTTGGGGTGCTCAGAATACTGGAAACATAAGCCGGCCCTTGAAGTGCAGGTAGGACTATTGGTATGTTAGCGTATACATTCAGGAAGAGAAGTGGTGAGTATGTTACAGTCGGAAGCAGCAGCCTATGCACTATTTCCAGCGAAACAGGATGGGGAGCAGGTATCTGCCACCTGTCTTGCTTCTAGGATGAATTATTCTAAAGTTAGGGAACCAAAAGCTATTATATAAAAACAATTTTATCTCCACCTTTTTAGCCTCTAGCAATTTATGGGTGATCCAAAGGATATCACCTGCTAATACATATACACCCTATGAAAAGCCATGGATAGAGCCAAAAAGGGGACAGGTGGTGGAACTAGTTCTTTAATGCTAGACCTATGGCCTGGTCTCAGTGTTGCTGGAAGATAGCTAAAGATTATGAGAGGTGGTACTGGCAAATAAACTTCAGTGTTGACTGCTTGTGTCACATATTAAATCAGCCACAGAGGCAGTGCCCAAAAAAAAAAAAACAAAAACTATTTTCCTCCTGCCATGTGCTACAAAGTCAAATGTGAAAGACACAGAATTTGGGAATGTACAAGCAAGGAGGAAAAAAGATAAAGCCCTGAACCTCTCTCTCTACACCAAAAAGGGAGGCAGTAATGGGGGTAAGTGGATGGCCAGAACAAGGGTTGAAAGTATCTGTGCATGTGCATTCATATAACAATAAGTCCAAAAATCAGACAAAATTAAACAATAATCTTAGAGATGCATGCTAAGGTAATAAACCTATAAAGAAAATCAAGGAAATGCTTATCATAAAAGTCAATAGTAGTTGTCTCTAGAAGATGTAGGAGAGAGTAGAGATTTGGAAGGGGTCCCGAAGAAATTTCTGGGGGCTGTTGGCCAGTTTCTACTTCATCTGAGTGGTGATTATTGAAGTGTTGCTTTGTGGTAATTCAATAAGCAGTACTTCTTTATTTTGTGTATGTCTGTTATATTCTACCAAGAATTTTTCAAAAATTGTCACCTCTTCTATCATTTTGTTTATTTTCTGATCTCTGTGGGTTTATGCCTTTACAAAATGTCTTGTTCTTTTAGTGGGGTGGCAAGCAATAGTAAATATATGTGTTCAATTTGACAACTTGGAAGCTCTCTATCCTTTTTAGGACTTCATTTTGCACTTTGGAAGACTTCCTAAGGAGCTGCTGTCTTTTTCATGTTAATAACTCATTACTAGAAAGGTATTTTTATTTTAATTTTCTTAATGTTTATTTATTTTGAGAAAGAGAGAAAGACAGAGTGTGAGCAGGGGAGGGGCAGAGAGACAGGGAGACACAGAATCTCTGTGTGTTAGCACAGAGCCCTATGCGGGGCTTGAACCCACAAACCATGAGATCAGGACCTGAGCTGAAGTCAGACACTTAACTGAGCCACCCGAATGCCCCAATATTATTTTAAATGAGAAATAAGTATATAGGAAATTATGAAAAAATAGTATACAACTGTTAGAATGTTGTTTTACTACATTTGCTAATTAAAAAACTAAGACTTAATTTTCTCGGGTTTTTCAGTATTTTGTTTTTCCAGTTTGTCAAAGAAATTGAGAAAATGTGGCACATATCATCTGTGCTAACATTTCAGTCTTCAATATATGTTTATAAAAACTGTCTCCCTCCTGAAGTAGCTTCTGTACTAACTATAACGGTCTGATCTGTTCTGGATAATGTAATGTGGTTATGTCTCCAAAAGAGACATTTTATGAGACTGACGCGCTGCCAGCTGCGCTAAGAAGGCACCTTAAAACAGACATTTTAAAAAATTATTATCCATCATAGAAAGCTACGTACACCCTCACTGGAGAAGGGCAGATTAAAAATAAATAAAAAAGGAAAAATATTTTTTTCAAAAGAAGTATATGTAGGGGAAATATCTGTTTAAGCTTGATTAGTTCAGTTATTCCTTTGCTAGTATTATAATAAAGACTTATTAGAATTTTAGGGAGGATTCATTTAGCAGCTGTTTTTTATTACAACTGAAGGATTTCAAAGGGAATTTCTTTCTTTTTTTTTTAGTGTCTGTAAGACCCCCCCCCCCCAAAAAAAATAATGGAGGGATGCCTGGGTGGCTCAGTCAATTGAGTGTCCGACTTGGTTTTGGCTTAGCTCATGATCCCAGGGTTGTGGAATTGAGCCCTGCATCAGGCTCTGCACTGAGTGTGGAGCATACTTGAGATTCTCTCTCTCCCTCTGTGCTTCTCCCCCACTAGTGCTCTCTCTCTAAAATAAAAAAATAAAAATAAATAAGGGGGTAACATTATAGAAGTTTGGAAAAATAGAACTACCCTATGATCCAGCATCTGCACTGCTAGGTATTTACCCAAAGGATACAAAAATACTCTAATAGCCAAATTACAGAAATAGCCCAAATGTCCATCGACTGATGAATGGATAAAGAAGATGTGGTATGTATGTACAGTGGAGTATTACTAAGCCATAATAAAAAATGAAATCTTGGCCATTTACAATGATGTGGATGGGGCTAGAAAGTATTATCTATGTGAAATAAGTCAGTCAGAGAAAGACAAATATATGATTTCACTCATATGTGGAATTTAAGTGTTCAAATAGATGCTGCAAAAGCAAAGAAAAAAGAGGACACCAAGAAACAGACCCTTAACTATAGAGAACAAACTGATGGTTGCAAGGGGGGGGGGGCAGGTAGGGATGGAAAACATACGATGGGATTAGAGCGTACACTAATCCCGGATGAGCGCAGGGTGATATATCCAAGTGTTGAATCACTATATCGTACACCTGAAACTAATATTACACTATATGTTAATTAACTGGAATGTAAATAAAAACTTTAATAAAAATAATTCAAAATTTAGATACAGAAATTATAAAAATTTACAAAATAAACTAGCATAAATGATGCTTTCTGGATACAAACATTACCGTTTGTCTACAGATTGGACAACTGATTGCCCCAAGCCATGAACCGTATCGCCAGTATGCAATAATGCAGGTACCTAATGAGAAAAAAAAACATTAATACTGATGTTTTAAATTTTAAAGCCCATGAGTCCTCAGAAAGTTTCAAATTTGAAATATTTTTATAGCATCATCTTATTTTAAAATATTTTTATTTCATTTCATTTCAGGCAAATTCAAATCTGGTAATAATTCCCAGCCATTAAAAAATATTTTTATTTGAACTACCAATTAAGATAAAATTATACAATCCAAAGCAAGAATACATTAACTGCTTCAATACTGTGAGGCTTAATAGAAAATACTGCATTTCCTATGTAAAATAAATGAACATCACTGCAAATATGATAACCAACAAATCACAGCATAAATTTTCTGTTCCAAATGGTATATATGTTACAAAAACATAGCTTCTATTTTTTTAAAAATTTAGAATGCCAAATTACAGTAGTATCAATAATAATAATAAAGTACTATGAATAAGGAACCAAAGGATACAAAAATTACCTGCTATCTGACCTAATAAAGTTTATAATCTAGTTCAATAATTCAACCAACTTTTGTACTGGATAGATATGATTTTTCTGCCTGAAGCTGTTCATGAGCAGCAAAACAACTAAACACAGCTTAAAGGAAGAGTTTATAGACCTCAAAATTAGCAGGTAAGCTAAGTGTATAAGCACTAAAGTTCAGACCAGTAACAAATGAAGAAGGAATATTTATTTTATTTTATTTATTTATTTATTTATGAAGAAGAAGAAAGAGGAGGAGGAATACTTTAAAATCCTATCTGATGTTTAAGGGCCCAATTCATTTCTTCTCTGCAGGACGCCTGTTTCTCAGACCATTCAGGTCCCATTGTGAATCTGAACTAAGTGCTTCCAGTCTCACTTCTACCTCCAAGATCTTTTCTGTATTCTTTAAAAAAATTTTTTTTAAGAAGAGTTTTTTTCTAATGTTTATTGATTTCTGAGAGAGAGAGAGAGAGAGAAAGAGAGAGTGCGAGCAAGGGGCAGAGAGAGGGAGGGAGACACAGAATCTGAAGCAGGCTCCGGGCTCTGAGCTGTCAAGATAGAGCCCAGTGCGGGGCTTGAACTCACGAACCATGAGATCGTGACCTGAGCCGAAGTCGGATGCTTAACAGACTGAGCCACAAAGGCGCCCCATCTGTCTTCTTATCCTTGTCTTAGCAACCTAGGTTAGCCCTTCTGCGTTCCTTATTCTGATTCTTCCAGATCAAATAAATGTCTAGAATTTGGAATAAGCAATGACAGTCAAATTGAGAAGTCCAAGGTGACATACTGAAATCAATCAGAAGGTAGTTAAATCTCAAACTATGTAATATTAACTTTAAGTACAAAAGGTATGTAGGAGAGAGAATTCTGGGATATATCAGAGAGTCATTTGTAGATGAGAAAGGATTTGAACTGAACTTTGTAGGATAGGTAAGATTTAGAAATAGAAAACAGGAGGGAGGATGCTCCAAGTTTTATGAATAGCAAAGAGCAAATACCAGAAGTAGAACTAAGTGGTATGTAAAGAGACTGGTGAGCATCCAATGGGCTAAGCAAAGGCTATCCAAATTGGACATTACAGTGACTGTGGGGAAAAACTGGTTCAGTGATTTAAAGATGAATTTAAAAGCTAAAGAATTTTTATCTGATATCTTTTCCTACTTTCAGAGTGCTGTGTTAGCTAATATTTATTAATTTGAGCAATCTAATTTCATATAGAAACTATATGAAAGCAAAACTTATAAATCTTGTCAGTATTAACATCTGTAATGATGCCTTAGTTTTATCTATGACCTTTTCACTCAAAAGTTCAATGTGTTTTGACATATGTTAACTTATTTAATCCCACATCTCTTTTCTACAAATTGGGGTACAGATGTCCTTGTTTTGCAAATTATGTAATGGCCACTGCCTGCACAGAAAAACTATGGTCCAGCAAATCAAACACTTCAGTTCACACACATCAGCTGTGATATGCTTAATGTTTTCCCTTTTCTTCAACCTTCCCCCTGTATAAAAAGAGAGATCCACCTAAATAAGATGGTGGGAGAGACAATGACATTAATCTGGGTCACAATCTCTCTCAATCTATTTATTTGTAAAATGGGAAAAACACCTCATAAGACTGCTGGAGAATTAAATAAAACAATGTGGGTTACAAATGCAAGTAAGATGAAGTCTGTTGCTGTTATTATTCTTAACACACTGTAAAGGAACAGAACTGTAGTTCCATATATAGGAACCAAGCTAAGGTGCTCTGGATATATACAGTATCAATATACTTGAACTACCATTCAAAGAAACACATTTCTGTTTGAGAAGCTGAGTAACAAGTTTTTTGAATCTGTGAACCTAGAGACAGTAAATAAGTGTCTAGCAAGTACAGCAGGATATCAGAAGCAATCTACCCAATTACGTCAGACCCAGAAACCAAGAACACAATACAGCCATCTTTGAATTGACTAGGTTATCCACTCAGTGAATTACCTAAGCCTGGGCTGGCAAATAGAGTTCATCTAGCCTGCCAAACCGCACTGATTCTTAACACCTGTCCAAAGTATTGTGTTAAAGGATGGCCATTTAGGCCATATCCAGACTAAGAAAGAATGTCCAATTGATTAGGAATATCTACCAGAGGTTCGAGAGGGGGAAAAGTATCTGCTTTCTCTGTGGTCATTTAATTCCCTGTAGCTGATCTTTCATAATTTTGCTGCTCATTAGCATTCCCAACAGACAAAGACACTGAAATAAGTGTTTTATAACTTGTTAGCTACTTTAGGCAAAACCTTTAGGGAAGACAATGAAATTAATGGATGATGCAATAATAGGACTGGTCAGGTATAGAAAAGGTATAGAAAACCCTGCATTGCATGATATGGATTTCAAAGTATTTATGCCATCCCTGAGAGCATAAATAATAGCACTATATACCTAATAATTCTATATAATCCCAAACAAAAGATACAATAGGGAGAAAGAAACTTAAAGGATCATTTAAGCTATATTTTAAATTAGTCTTAAAATGGAAAATGGGTACATTTTGGGAACAATTAGAACCCTATCTTGAATATAGCCATTGGAACAAGAAAGAAATACTACAAATAAAACAACAGGTCTAGTGTATGGATAAATGTTAAGTAGAGAGTAGTTATGTAAGCCACTAATCACGTAATAGAATTGACCACAGGGTTTGAAGTAGACCTACATTTAAAATCTGGCTCTTTCTCTGGCTGGGTTACCCTTTATAAAATTTCTTAGCTCAGTTTCAGTTTCCTCGTATCTGGAGTTTGACACAATGAAGTAACTTAAATGTTCAGCACATAGCAGATATGTAGTAACTGACTCTCCTCAATCTCATAGGAGCACAATAAGCAATGACTATATGATACCTCGTTCTCTATGAAATCTTTCTGGAGGAAAGAAATGCCCAGAGGTAGAAAGCACCCCTTACTGATACTAAGTAAGTGTGAAATTGGTGTTTCCTTCTTGTCCTACTATATGCTCTGTGTTCTTATTCTCTCTTACAAACCCTCCTAAGGTCACACACACACACACAACAGGCTAATAACTTTTGTGCTGACGCAGGATAAAAAGGAGGTAGGAGAGCTAAGGGAAGGTCTTGGGCAGGGTCCTTGAGAGAACCTTCCTGCCTTGGGAAGGACTACCAAAAAGTGATAAACAATGAAGGATTCAATGAATCCCTCATGGTATTCATATACTTGAATTACCATTCAAAGAAACACATTTCTGTTTATTGAGAAGTTGAATAATTAGGTTTCTTTTAATCTTTGAGCTCACAGATACTAAATAAAAGTGGCTAACAGGATATCAGAAGCAACCTACCCCACTTGTGAAATATAAAATGTAAATTAGGAATAATTTAATAATAAATAAAAAGTAAATTAGGAATCCAGCCCATGTACATTTATGGGTCTTGGTCTAAATAGTCACTTTTACCAAATATACTATTGTTTGCTTACCACAAAAAAGATGTCCACAGTTTGTTTCAACAGGGAAGGAGGCTTGATGTAAACAGATTGGACAATACATGTCAGTGTAGAACTGCTGTCGAGCAGCAGCAGGGGCATCCTGAGGAGAAAACAGGGATTCATAATTACACAATGCACACAGGCTTTCAAAGTTATCTCTTAATTATACTTAAGAACACAGTCAATAGTATATAATCCTCATCAAGTTTTAGATGTGCATTAGCTTAAAATCTTATAAGTTTGATAAAATTATGAAGCCAAATTGTTGTTTTATTAAGCTCCACGGTCTCTACCTTCCTTCCTGAGCACATTTTAAAGACAAAAACCTACACTGACTCAGGAGTTTCTCTTTCACTGTTAGAATGACTATGTTATTCTGAGAAACACAGGCTGAGCTAATGCAAAAGCTAAAGATATATCAAGCGGTTTCCCAAGTTAATAGCTTTTAATCATTTCTTACATCTTTTTCATTCATACATTCCTGGTAAGTGTTGCACGTGTGCCGTGCCTCACAAAGGGACCAGAATTAAACTTGCAAAGAATATTGGTCATTTTGGAAGAAGGAAATTTAATACCATTGGTACCTTAAACTTAATCTTCCACATGGTCAGATTAATAAAATTTAATGTTCCCCAGTTACATCACTGTTATGAGATTGTAATAGGAATGTTGAATAGAATCATCACTACAAGAAGCATCCAGATATCAAAGAACCCATCAGAATGTAAGTGCTATGAAGGAGCACTTTACCTATAGGACTCGCTGCAGTGACCCAGGCACTGGAAGGAATCTAGCACAGTATGTAATGTGTATCTTTGAAGATACTTATAAAAAACTATATTCACAGCACCCAGCACACCTCTTATAAAGTAGCCAGCATTAAAAACGTCAAATACCAAAAAAAAAAAAAAAAAAAATTATAGAATTCACTAAATATGAACTATTCTTAGTTGTAAACCAAATCAAAGATTTTTGTCACCTGGGTGCCTGGGTGGCTCAGTCGGTTGAGCATCCGACTTTGGCTCAGGTCATGATCTCACAGTTTGTGAGTTTGAGCCCTGCGTCAGGCTCTGTGCTGACAGCTGGGAGCCGGGAGCCTGCTTCAGATTCTGTGTCTCTTTCTCTCTCTGCCCCTCCCCCACTTGTGCTCTCTCAAAAATAAATAAACGTAAAAAAAAAAAAAAAAAGATTTGTCACCTAAAACTAATAAACATAACCAAAATCTCCTATTTCTTATCAGTCCTAAAATACTAGAATATTCTATAAGCTATGGTCACACCTTGATGTTATAGTCTTTTATATTATTTAAAACAGAAAAACAGAAAAACACATAGCACTTAATTAAGTCTCCCTCTCTACCTTTTATCTTATTATTCTTTGTAAATTAACTAAAACAAAACAAAAACAATTACCAGTTACCAGTGCTGTCCAACCAAACTTTTTGCAGTAATGGGTATCTCCTTTATATCTTTGAGTATTGAGTCCTTGAAAGGTGACTAGTGTAATTAAAACATACTGAAATTTAAATTGTATTTAATTTTGGTCAATTTAAAATTAAATGGCTACATATGAGTAGTGGTTACCATACAGACCCGCATAGGAAGGGCTAGGTCACTAGCTTTATTCTAACTAAAGCTACATGCCATGTGTGAGGTAGGTGAACTGGAAAGTGGTGCAAAGAAATCTGGAATATCCAGCTCAGTGTAGGACTTCTGGATAGCCAGATCTATTCATGTAATTCCAGTGTGCATTTAAGTAAATCTTAGTGATCTAACATGTTAGATGGGAATGATACTTGTTGCCTTACTTGTGTTTGCAGATTAAATAAGATAGTTGTAATGTGACAGCACTCTGTAAATTATAAAACACTATCCCAGTATGAATTATTAATAACAACAGCCTTTGAACAGAGTACTATTAACATGCTTAAGCTATTTTTACATCAGTGAATTGAAATTTTATGAAGGCAGGAATTCTTGTTTGTTTAGCTCACAACTGAATCCTCAATGCCCACAACAATGTCTGACATATGGTAGATGTTTAATAAATATTTGGTGAATGGATAAATTATAAAACCCTCTTTGGAATTAAAATTTAATTGGTGGGAAATCAATTTTTAAGGGTTGTTTTTTTTTGATATTAGCTATCTTGGCATGCAGGTGTATAATATCCTACTTATTCCAGCCTTCATGAAATACATTTCTGGTTCGTAGAGAGTCCATTTGGTTAAAAGCAAAGAAGAGGCAGAAAAGTTTTCTTTTTTTGCCTAACTAGTTTTATTAACTTTGACCACTGAAGAAAAAGAAGAGGAAAAAAAAAAAGCCACCCCTTACAGTCATTTCTTTGTAGGTCTTAGATGTTAGAAAAATAGCTTATCTAGGGTGCCTGGGTGGCTCAGTCAGTTAAGTGTCTCACTCATTTCAGCTCAGGTCATGATCTCATGGTTTGTGAGACTGAGCCCCTTGTCAGTCTCTGTGCTGACCGCATGGGGCCTCCTTGGGATTCTCTCTCCCTCTCTGACCCTCCTTTGCTTGCATGTGCACATGTGGTCTCTCTCTCAAAATAAATAAATAAACTTAAAAAAAAAAAATAGTTTTTCCATTACATTTCATTAAAGCCCAATTAGATAGTTATTATTTCCTCACAAATAACTAATAGGAAAACTGCCGGGTTTTTTTGTTGTTGTTGTTTTTTTTTAATGTTTATTTTTGAGAGTGAGAGTGTAAGCAGGGGAGGGGCAGAGACACAGGAAGACAGAGAATCCAAAATGGGCTCCAAGTTGTCAGGGCAAAGACTATGTGGGGCTTGAACCCACAAACCGTGAGATCATGACCTGAGGCAATGTCTGATGCCCATTGAGCCACCCACACACCCCGGAAAACTGCTGTTTTTAAAGCAGTTTTGGGGCGTCTGGGTGGCTCAGTTGGTTAAGTGTCCAAGTCTTGATATCGGCTCAAGTCATGATCTCACAGGTTCAGGAGTTCAAGCCCCACATCCAGCTCCCGCTGAAAATGTGGAGCCTGCTTGGTATTCCCTCTCTCTCCCTCTCTCTCTCAGAATAAACAAACATGCATATGAAAACATTTGAATAGTTAAAACTAGTCATTTGCCTAATCTGAAAATATACAATCAATAGAATCACTTAAATTAGTACAGCAGGAGAACACCCCATGTTTCCAAACAGTAATTTATTGTTTCATCACCATTTCATATGTAAGGAGAATAGCAACATCTACCCCTTACATAAATACACATATTTATATAATAGCAATAGTACCTGTTCTGTTTGAAGTTGCTCCCGAAGCACCCTTACTAATTCTTGGTTTTCTGGGTGAATGTTTTGGTGGGCGTTTCTGTTAAATAAAATATAATAAGCTTTGAATACAAAATATTGCCAGATGAATCCGTTTTCTTTATGGGTCTAATTTTTAACCAAGAACTTCATAAACGTAAATGATGGCACACAACTGTACTCCAATTCCAGGACTGAACATTCCAGACTACTCTGTGAGGCGTTCTAAGGTTACCGAATACAGCTGATTTCAGGTTCAGCTGGCAAATGATGAAATCCAGAGGCCTAGCACCTTGTAGATTTGATGTAACTGCAGGCTTACAAATCATCTGAAGAACGATTAACACGTTTATTTCTTCTGCAAAATTCCTTCAAAATAAACTATATAATTCTAGATATTATTATGCATTTGAACACTTTTGCATATCTAATTAGATCTTTCTCCCATAGAGCTTTTCACAGATCTTCATAGAGCTTTTATGAGGAAAGGGGGACAAAACAACAGAAAATAAAACTATGTCATACAGAAAAACCCAGACGTAACATACCACTTATACCTTAACATTAACAATTAAAGGAGGGAGATTCAAAGGCAAGAATTTAGTGGCTGATACACAAGGATGAGATAAGGTATGTGGGTATTGGAAATTGGAAGGGGTGGTTTAGGTTGGCAGGGTGGGGTTGAAGATTTCCATCTGAATCACAGCTTAATTCCATTTGGCTGTAACAGTTTCTTCTAAACTTAAACATTTTTTAACAGCAATATTTTAAGTCCACAAAATCCCAGTGTTACTTTATATAAGAGCCTTTATTCCCTGGGTGAGCTAATACCCAACAATGATAAAAACTCTAAATCAATAACTTAATGGGACATGGAAAACTTTTTAAAATACATCTTACGATTATTCAATTTTTAGTAAAAAATCCAAATTTTAGGAAAAAAGCTGGCAAAAAAGAACCATTAGTTTTGAAGAACATTAAAAAAGTCAAATTTCTTTTTGGTTTTAATTTTTTTAATGTTCATTTTTGAGATAGAGAGACAGAGTGTGAGCAGGGGAGGGACAGAGAGACAGGGAGAGCCAGGATCCAAAGCAGGCTCCAGGCTCTGAGCTGTCAGCACAGGGCCCGATGCAGGCCCCACGAACCGCAAGATCAGGACCTGAGCCGAAGTCGGACACTTAACCAACTGAGCCACCCAGGAGCCCCCCAAAAAGTCAAATTTCTAATCAGAAACTAAACATAAATGTAATAAAGCTACTTGAACTGTTTAAACATCTTAAATTCTGGTGGATTATTTATTTTAAATATTACCTTCTTATGACTGAATAACGATCTCTGTGGTGGAAACAATCTATCCGGAACAGCACAAGGAACCATTTCATTTAAGTGTCAATAACTACCTACCTAAACAGCATTTCTCTGTTCTTTGACAGTGGAAAACCATTCCCTTCTCCTTGAAAGAAAGACAGTTACTACTTTTCAGAGTACACATATAAACCATGTAACTGGAAGGTCTTTCTTTTGGTTTCTTTCCATAAAAGAAAAGATACAAGATTATAAAATCTAGTAGTAGAATGTTAGAAAAGTCAAAGTATAACCAAAGAACAAGATAAACAGCCTGAAATGTTGAACGCAGCCTGTAGTTTAGGCAATTAAATGGGATTAGCAACTGTGAGTCCAGAACCAAAAATCTAGAAAATAATGGGATAATTAAGACAGACTGAAAGTGAGATTAGAAAACCTCAAGATGTGATCACTTCAGCGATGAGAAAATGACAGCATTTGACACTAGGTCTAAAGATGCCGAGGAAAACAATGGCTCTAATACAGAAACAAAATATATCATTTACCAATGATTTATGGTCCTTTGTTATTCATGAAAGGAGAAACCAAAATTATCAAACCAGTTATGTGGCTCTGGAAAGAAGTCAGGAATCTCTGATAAGAGGAAATAAATGATATCCAAACTCTGGGTCAAGAAACAAAGTCTGAATCAAAGTTCACAAATGTGCAAGAGCAAATCTGTGGTTTATAGGTTAAACTGCTTACCAAACCCTTTGCACTGGTTTTTAGTATGTCAACTAATGGCAGCTATTCATAACAGCTTAAGAAGGGAGGACAAAAAGATTTAGAAAGAAATATAACTGTAATACACTGCTGAAGGAAATTAAAGAAGACATAAATAGAAAGACATCCTGTGTTCATAGACTAGAAGACTTAATATTTTTAAGATGTCAGGACTACCCAAAATGACCTATTTACAGATTCAGTGCAATCCCTGTCACATCCCAACAGGATTCTTTGCAATATAGAAAAACCCAGATCTCAGGAAGATGGCAGAGTAGGAGGATCCTGAATTCACCTCCTATGGACACATCAAGGCAACAACTACATACAACACAATTCACTCTGGAACTGAAGACTGGCAGAACAGCTCCTCCACAGCTAAAGATATAAAGAGAAGTCCACATCAAGAAGGGTAAGGGCAGAGATGTGGTCAAGAACCAAACCCTCTACACAGTATCCCACAAGTGGGAGGGATATCACAGGCATGAAGGTCAACTCTGAAAAGGGAGATAAAGCTTTACATTGGGCATCCCCAGCCTTGGGGAACTGCACTGTATTCGGCCTATGTAGCCAGATGCTTATGGGAGACAGTTCTGATACTCTCTTTCTACCTTGCTAACCTTGTTAGTCCTGCTCGCCCCATCCCAGCATTCACCTGTGGAACTGCCCCACCCAATCATTCTACCCTGGCAGGCACCCTTTCAAAGTGGTTCCTGCCCTGGTGTACCCAGCAAGCAGTCCTGGCTAGAACTGGCATCTGCTCCAAAGCATTTCCTGCCCCAGAGAGGGAGGAGAGCCAGCCCCGCACACCAGCATGGCTGCAGCAGATGTGGCTAGGACGCTCAGCCGGTGGTGCAGGAACCAGCCCCACCCACCATAGCAGCAGCAACACACATGCCCAGGCACAAGCAGATAGCACCTGCAGCCTACAGAGAGGACACCATTGGAGCACCTGGTTCTAGTGATGGAGGTATGGGGGATGGGATTGTGCTACTGGGCCCCAAAGCACACCTTCTACAGAAGGCCAATATCTTCAAGACTAGGAGACCTAGCTGACATACCTAATACATAGAAACAAACACAGAGAATCAGAAAAAATGAGGGACGGAAGATTATGTTCCAACCAAAAGAACAAAACCAAACTGGAGAAAAAAGAATTAAACAAAACAGATTAAATAGTCTACACGATGAAGAGTTCAAAATAATGGTCATAAACATTTTCACTGTACTTGAGAGAAGAGTAGATGAACTCAGTGAGAACATTACAAAGAGAAAACATAAAAAAAGAACCAATCAAAGCTGAAAAAAATACGGTAAGTGCAATCAAAAATACACTAGAGGGAATCAACAACAGAAGAGAGGATACAGAAGAACAATTCAACGAATGGAACACAAGGTAGGGGAAAGCATCCAAGCTGAACAGAAAAAAAGGATTTTTTAAAAAATGAGGATAGGTTAAAGGATCTTTATAACAATATCAAGCATACTAATATTCACAATTATGGGGGGATCCAGAGGCAGAAGAAAAATAGAAAGGGGCAGAAAACTTACGTAAGAGATAATAGCTGAAAACTTCCCTAAACTGGGGAAAGAAACAGATATCCAGGTCTAGGAAGCACAGAGAATCCCCAAAAATATGAACCCATAGCAGTCCACACCAAGACACATAATTAAAATGCCAAAAATTAAAGATAAAGAGAGAATCATAGAAACAGCAAGAAAAAAAAAATAGTTATATACAAGGGAAACCCCATAAAGTTATCAGCTGGTTTTTCACAGAAACTTTGCAGGCCAAAAAAGGTCTGGTATGATATATTCAAACTCTAAAAAGAAAACGCCTATAACCAAGATTACTCTATTTGCCAGAGTTGTCATTCAGAATTGAAGGAGATATAAAGAGCTTCCCAGACAAACAAAAGTTAAAGGAGTTCATCACCACTAAACCAGCCTTATAAGAAATATTAAATGAAACTTTAAGCAGGGGGAAAGAAAAAAGTCAAAACTATAAGTAACAACATTATGAAAGGAAAACATTTCACTGGTAAAAGCAAACATACAGTAAAGTTAGTAGATCGTTCATTTATAAAACTGCTATGAAGGTTAAAATACAAAAGTAGTAAAATCAATTATATCTACAAAAACTAGTTGAGATATGCACGCGCACACAGGACAGGGGTGCCTGGCTGACTCAGTTGGTAGAGCATATGAATCTTGATCTAGGGTTGTGAGTTCAAGACCCACATTGGGTGTAGAGCTAACTCAAAAAAAAAAAAAAAAAAGATACACAAAATAGAAAGATGCAAAATATGACATCATATACATAAAACATGCAAGGAAGGAACAAACATGTATTGCTTTCAGAATATTTTCGATCTTAAACAACCTTCCACTTAATGTAGACTGCTATATATACATAGGATATTACATATGAATCTCACGGTAACCACAAACCCAAATCCGACAATAGACACACAAAAAATAAAGAGAAAGTAATACAAGTAAACACTAAAAAAAGTAATCAAATAACAAGGGAAGAGAGCAAAAGAAAAAGAAGGAAAAGAGAACAACAAAAACCAGAGAATAGCTGACAAAATGGCAATAACTTCATACCTATCAATACTCACTTTTTATTATTTTTTCATCATAGTAAGTGCACTCTTTAATCCCTATCAGCTAATTCACCCTTCTCCCCACCAATCTCCCCTCTGATAACCATAAGTGTGTTCTCTATAGTTTTGTCTTTCTCACTCTTTTTTCCTTGCTCATTTGTTCTGTTTCTTAAATTCCATATATGAATGAGACCATATGGTATTTGTCTTTCTCCAACTTATTTCACTCAACATTACACTTTCTAGCTCTCTCCATATTGTTGCAAATGACAAGATTTCATTCTTTTTTATGGCTGAATAATATTCCACTACATTTGTATACCACATCTTTTTATCTATTCATCTATAGATGGACACTTGGTGGGGGCACCTGGGTGGCTCAGTC